GGGGGGGACTCTGCCCATGGGGTGAGGAGGGGCAAGGGGGCTGGAGAGCCCCAAAGAGGAAGGGGCCAGGCCCCCCAACACAGAAGTGCCCCCCCCAGAGGAGGCAAAGGGAGAGGCTGGCCCATGGGGGAGCTGCCCCCCCCCCCAGTCTGGTCTGGCCCCCAGGACTCACCAGGGCCGTAGGCTCGTGCCTTCTTGGGGTTCAGCTTGGGGCGCAGGGGGGCACCCGGTTTGAGCTTGGCCTTGGGGAACTGGGACAGGTAGGTCATGACCGAGTGCTCGTCCACATTGGGGTCCACGATCTCCTCCGGGGTGATGACCTGCCATGGGGACAGGGGGGTCAGACCTGCCACCGTTCCCCCCCGGCCTGCCCCACATCCCCTGGACACAGCTCCCCCAGCCTCCCATGGTACCCCCAGCCCCCCGGCCTGCCCCACATCCCCTGGACACCACACACCCCCTCCAGCCCCCCACAGCTCCCCCAGACACCTGCACCCCTCCTTCCAGGAAACCCCCCAGTCCCTCAGGACAGCACCAGCCCCCACCTGGGGGATGCCCAGCCAGTCGTCAGCCTGTTGCATGGCCTCGCGGGCATTGTTGACAGGTTTGCTGGCGTCCCAGGAGTCCCAGTCGGGGCAGAGACCTGGGGGAGCAGGGGGGTTAGTGGCACATGGAGTCCCCCCCATCCGGGCCCTGCTGGCTGCCACCCCACAACTGGGGGGCTGGACTCCCCCAATCTCCCTTCCCCCATGAGTCCCCCGATGGCCTGATGCCATCTGCCACAATGCCCTAGAGCCAGAAACAACGTCCCCATGGTGCCCCGGGCCCCCCTCCCCCTTCCCCAGTGTCCCTCCCTGGGGCACTGCGCCCCCTGCCCCCCTCCCCCGGGCCCCCCTTCCCCTGCCCCCAGCCCCCATCCCCAGCGTCCCTCCCCTGGGACCCCTCTCCCCCTCCCACCCGCCCCCCTCCCCTGGGACCCCGCACCCCCTGCCCTCCTCCCCCGGGGCCCCGTGCCCCCCTCACCCGGGGCACAGCTGTCCACCAAGGCCCCCAGCGCCCGCCCGCTCTGCCAGTCCTTGCTGAAGTTGGTGATGGGCAGCTCGGGCAGCTTGTTCTGGATCCAGCCCAGCAGCCGCTGCTTCGGCGTCTGCTTCTTGGTCTCCTCGTCGTCCTCCTCGTCCCACATGGGCATGGAGATGGAGTAGTGCAGGATCAGCGTCCAGATCAGACCCAGGATCAGCTTCAGGTTCCCATCCACGATGGCCTTGCTGTCTGCGGGTAGACAGGGGGGTCAGCATGGGGGGCAGGGCACCAGCGGCACCCCAGCTCCCCCTCACCACCCCCGTGCACCGAGCATCCCTCTCTGAGCCCCCCGCCCCAGGGCCCAGGAAAAAGCATTAATGGTGTCTTCCAGGGGACTGCGAGTCGGGAGTGAGGGGCAGGGCTGGGCTAGCAGGGGGCTGCGGGGCGGGAGTGAGGGGCACCAGCAGGGCTGTGGGGGACCAGGGCTGGGCTAGCAGGGGCTGCGGGTCAGGAGTGAGGGGCACCGGCAGGGCTGTGGGGGACCAGGGCTGGGCTAGCAGGGGCTGCGCGTCAGGAGTGAGGGGCACCGGGGGTTCAGCCATGACCCCTTCCATCAGGGGATCCTCCCCGGCCCCAGAGGAAGACTGTTTCCCAGGCTGCCCCAAATCCATTCATCCCAGACCCCTCCCCCACCCTGCGGCTGGGCTGGCTTGGGGCCCAGATTGAGGGGGAGGGGAATTGGGGGGGGGGGGCTGAGCCCAGCCTGACTCACTCCGGGGACACGAGCCAGGGCCCGAGAGCAGGGACTGCGGGTCGGGAGTGAGGGGCACCGGCACCACCCCCTCTCCATGTGTAAACCAAGGTCCCAGAGCCCAGTCCTGTCCCAGAGCCGGGGAGAGAACCCAGGCGTCCGGGCTCCCAGCCCCTTGTAAGCCCCTGAGCACAGCACTGCACAGAGGAATGGTCACTCCCCAACACCCCCAAACTGTCTGTGCCCATCCCGGGGGGGCAGGGCAGGGGGACCCCAGCCCGTCTCCATACCATGGGGCACACGCCAGGTGAACAGAGATCCCCGATTGCAGCCCAAGGATCAGTGTCAGCCCAGTCGGGGCCCCCAGCACCAAGGGGTGATGGGGGGTCCCTGTCCCCCAGCACATGGGGGTGTCCCGGCCCAGCCAGGCCTGGCGCAGGGGGGGGATGACCCGCCCCTCCCCCCATTCCCAGAGGCTCCGCCCGACACTCCAACATTTTTTAGCCTTATATGGAGCGGCCGCCAGACACCGGC